ATTAACATGTCAGAGTGCAACTCCTGGCTTCCACCTCAGAGGGGAACCTGCTTAGGGTGGGGGGGGGCATTCTGCTAGCCAGATGGGCAGAGCTCTGCCAGCTCCCAGTGCCAGGGAAAGCCTGGGCAGTAATCAATACCAAACCTGACTGGGAAGAGGACCACCCAAGGACACGTGGCTGCGAACCAAACCTCCTCCCTACCTTGGTCCGATCTCTTGGCAAGTTTCCTTCCTAGTCCCAGCTTGGTTCCTACTTACGTGGGGAGGAATCCAAAAACAGGAATTATTTTAAAGAGAGTAAGGCAGAAAGAAGGTTGGGGCGCCACCAGCAGATGCTGAAAGGGTGAGGAGGAAGAGGGTTCTGGTGAGTGACATCACCCAGGGCTTCCCATTTGTAATAAAGACTGGTCCATCGCTGGAAGTCAAAGCGGATGCCAAGGGAAGATCTTCAGGCGTTCAGAGATTCTGAGTTAGAAATGCTCTCCTTCCAGCTCTTCCCAAAAGGAAGCCCCTTGGGGAACACAAAGTAGTGATTAAGGAACTAAACAGGCCACCGTTCTCTGGGCCTCATAAGTTCTCCCAGGCCAGGCCTGACCGGGGGACAAGCACGTGACCAGCCACGGCTTCTCCTCTCTCGATGTCTCCCTGCCAGATGACCCTTCTTGAATTCTAGAGGCGCTTGGCCCTCCTGTTTTCTGCCACCAGAGCAGAGAGAACGTGGGCCCACCGGTTTCCCTCCCCTTCCGCCCCTGCAGGGAGCAGGAGCAGGGCCTGGGACGGCCGGAGGAAAGGAAGGCCGGGCGCAGGGACCCCTGGCGCCCGGAGAGGGAGCCCCGGGCCGCCTCTGAGCACCTCGGCGGGAGCCTAGGAGCTGCCGGCTCCGGGGTTCGGAGTGTGTCTTCGCCCACCGGGCCAGCTGGCCGCGGAGCCGCCTTCCGCCAGTTGCCGCGTGACTACTCCCTCCGCCCAGTCTTAAATCTTCCTGTTCATAGGGTCGCCCGATGGTTTTTGAATCACAATCCAGAATCTCAACAAATTACAAATGTTGTGTGGAAACGTAATCAGGGTGTGGAGCCAACCCACTCGGAATTGCTAATTTTAAAAATGGAAAGGAAAGGAAAGGAAAGGAAAGGAAAGGAAAGGAAAGGAAAGGAAAGGAAAGGAAAAAAAAACCCCTGCAAATCAATTCTGCAGGGTCTGCGCGTGGAGTTTCTGAGTTCTTGGGGACCCTCCCAGCGCGTCCGGAGCTCCGCCGGCCTCGCCGACTCCCTGCGGCGACCTTGGGGCTGGAGGCCGGGACGCCAGGGCCTGTCCCCGCAGCTGAGGCCTCACGGACAGCCTGGGAAAGAGGCGACTTCTGGAAGGGTTAGGGTCCCTGCCTACCGCCGAGGCCCTGGCCCACCGTGGGCACTTCTCTTGCCCTGAGCGCCCAGGGAGTGTGCCCCCAGGTCCCAGCCTCTGGGCTGGGAGGACACCCTGTCCCCAGTCACCTCCGCCCCCACCCCCCGCCAAGTCCTCAGAGTCGACTCCGTGCCCTCCGAGTGGGGACGTGGGGCGCTTGAACTTTCGTACGAGAGAAGTGGAGGGAAAACACTGGGCACAGAAATGTATATATTAGATGTGCACCTATCCGATCGACAGTTATTAGCAGCTGTGCTTTTGTTGAAACCGCTGCATCCTAGGTGGTGTTGGTAAGACCAGGCTGGTACCGGCACGGGAGTGACAAGTGGATCCCTCTGGAGAACGCGGCGCGATTTAAGTGGTGACGTCTGGTTCTGTGCGCAACTGTGCGTCTCTGACCTGAGTTCCCTGGCGCTACCTCTCGGCCACCAACCCGACTGTACACCCAGAGCAGGGCGACCTCCCCGCAACTGGGAAGGCCACTGGATCTCCAGGGGAAGAACACGCCCGGTGTCAGGAGCTCGGCTCCCTACCCAGAACTTTGTCACAAAGGGCGTTCGGTGGGTGTTGGGGGCGAAAAGAAACGTTACAACACAACCATGTGGAGGAGGGTGGAGAAGGAGGGAGAAGCGAGGGCCTGCTCGGCTTCTGGGGACAAATCCAGCGGTGCCGGTACCTCGTGCGCGCGAGGGAAGAGAGGGGCGGCCCCCTCGGCCTTCCGCCTGGGCTCATCCCGAAGGGCGCTCCGCAGGATTCAGTCGGGACCCTTGGAGCCGGTGGCACTACCACGAGTGGCGCTCGGCTCAGGTTCCGTGGTGGAAATCCCCGCGGAAGCGCCCCCCCGCGCCACGTTCCCACTCGGCGGGGCCCACCCGGTGCGCGTCCGCCTCCCACCGGCATCCCGCTCGCCGGCCCTGCGGCGGACAGATGTTTATTGCTCGGAGCCCGACCGCTGGGGAGACGCGGCGACCGGCGCGGATCCGCGCACCGCGCGCGCTGGCGGGGCTCTGGGCTCCCGGTCGGGGGTGCGAGCGAGCAGAGGTCGAGGGTGGGGGGGGGGGGGACGGCGGCAGGGGGGGTAGGGGTGGAAGGAGGAGGGGGGAGTGGGTGGACTAATGATGAAAAAGTCTCCTCCATCCCGGCTCCTTAATTAAATGCATGGAAAGAACCGAGGCGAGCACATCTGGTTTCAATCTGCAGCCCTTTGATGGCATCAAATGTTCTTTTCCCAGATCAGGGCTGGAAGTTCTGGGCTAACTATGGCCGTTTGGAGCCCAGAAACCATTTACACACACTCGGACCCTTCTCTCTCTCCAGCAGAGCCCCTCGGCTGAAGGAGAGAGAGAAAGAGAGAGAAGTCTAGTCATCGAGGGAGAGACGGGATTGTGGATGCATGTGTGTGTACGCGTTCAGAGAACATAAAACGCCACAAATAAGCACTTAATATTTTACTGACTCGTCATATAGTAACTCATTTCTAATGAGACTGTTAAAGCTGTTACCAAATTCCAGCAGGTCATGAAAAAAATCGCTCAGCACCTCCCTGTCCTCTGTCAAGTTAGGGCTCAGCAGACAGGCGACAGAGCATTATCCGTGGCCTTAGGTGGGGGCCCCGCTCCCTTCCCCCATGCCCCGCGGCACCGGCGGGTCCTGCTCCGCGCGGGAGCCTCGCCCCGAGCGCCCTGCCTGCGCCGCATCTGGGCAGCGCGACCCTCTCGCCTGGTCGTCCCCGCCCGGGGAAGCGACCTTGGCCCCACCGAAAAGGTTACGGAATTGGCCAGATTGGGGGTTTGGGGGAGGGGGGAGCAGCGGTGGGTGAAGAGGAGTGATTATGAAGGACTCCTAGAGTCCTTTCCTCCGGCTAAGTAAGCATGTAAATTTCCTACCGCCCCGGCCCGGGGATTCCTATCCGCGCGCGGAGAGACTCGCTTCCATTCCACGCCTTCCCGACCGCCCCGATCTGCCCGCGTCCGCGGACAAGCGTGGGAGACACCCATTCCGGTCGCTCCTGCGACTCGATTACGTTCTTTCACGGGCTGTCTCTGCCGAGCCCCACGCAGCCTCCCTCTGTTTTGCTCTCCCCGCGTCCCCTCTCAGGCGCCCTCCACCCCCCACCCCCAAAACTGTTAGAACAGCAGGAAACGTTAAAAAAAGAAAAAAAAATTTAAGGCAGAGGGAGAAGAAAATTTGATTGAGATTGTCGTGGATTTTCTCCAACAAGCTTCCCGGCAGCTGTTATCAAAACATGCAAATGAGATTTCCAACAGGACCTTCAACAGATCTGGAGGAGTTAACGCCGCAGCAAAATAATCAGCCCGTTTGAAGTGACTGTGGGTTTCAGTTTGTCTTTTCTCCCTGTGATACTATTGCAGGGGAATGATAATTAGACCTTTACTTAAAAACTCCGAAGGGGCTCGCGGCTTTCCCTTCCCTCCCTCTTGGCTCCCTCCTCCCTTCCCTCTCTGCCTCTCTCGCTCCCTCCCTCCCTCCCTCTCTCTCTCTCCCTCTTGCTCAGATGTTGGCAAAGGGGGTTTTCTTAATCAGACTGTTTTTGGGTCCGAGGGAAAGGAGGAAGAAGGAGATTGTGATGGAGAAAGGGGGTCTGTAGAACGTCAGGCACCGCACAAAGGCTTTGCCACGTAATTACAGACTCCTATTAAGGCGAGCGCTGCCCTCCCAGGGGTCTCCAATTTTCTTGTATTCCCTACAAAGCCTCCTCTGCATGCCAGTTTGTGCCTTTTGAAGTGCCAGAGAGCTTCTTGATCCAACTGAGAAGGAAAAGGAGTCTCGGCAAGAAGAGGGGGAGAGAGAGAAGGGAAAGGGGGGAACCCACCACCACCCTCCTCCGGACTCTTGAAGCCCTTTTTTTTTTTTCCTTTCCCCCCCCCTCCTAACGAAAAGTAAAGTGAGAATCCGGCTCTCCAGTACATCTGCAAGACATCACCCTCTCCTCCTGAAACTTTAGTCACTCCTGAGAATCCGCAGGAGTGCAGAGAGGGGGAACACGTTTTCTTGAAGATGTTTTAAAGCTGGAACAAGCCTTCTTCTGTTGGTGCTTGAACTCTTGCCTGGGAATAACTTTTTTAACCTTAAAAAAACCCACTTTGATTCTTCTCTCCCACCCCTTCTCCTCTCTTCTTGTGTTTGCCTAACTCCCCCGCCCTGCTGGCCTCCCCTCTCCTCGCTCCCCCTTACTATTATTTTTAGTGTGTGCGTGTGGACGCTTTTGGAGAGGTGGAAGGGATTTTTTTCCTCCGGACTGGAGCGGAGGGTGACTTTTTGATTTTATTTTTTGGTGTGGATTATCTCTTTGGATCGCGCCGGACTTGGCCTCAGGACGCAGCCGGGGCTGTCAAAGGCTGGTGGTGGTGGAGAACGCACTGCTCTGCACAAGGGTCCCCCGCCCTCTTTCCACTTTTTTTTTTTTTTTTTTTGGTGCTTCCCCTCCTCTCTCTCTCTCTCTCTCTCTCACTCTCTCTCTCTCTCTCTCTCTCTCTCTCTCTCTCCACTCCCCCCTCTCTCTTCCCCACTCGGCTCCTCTCCCCCCTCGCGCCCACAGCGTTTGGTGTTGATTCGAGCGGGAAGAGGGGGGTGGGTGGGATCGGAGGGGGAGACCATGACCTCCAGCTACGGGCACGTTCTGGAGCGGCAACCGGCGCTGGGCAGCCGCTTGGACAGCCCGGGCAACCTCGACACTCTGCAGGCGAAAAAGAACTTCTCCGTCAGTCACCTGCTAGACCTGGAGGAAGCCGGGGACATGGTGGCGGCGCAGGCGGACGAGAGCGTGGGCGAGGCGGGCCGGAGCCTGCTGGAGTCGCCGGGACTCACCAGCGGCAGCGACACCCCGCAGCAGGACAGTGAGTAAGGGGCGCAGGCCCCCGGGGCTGCGTGTCCCGGACCAAGGGGGGGATCTGGGCTGGGCGGCTGGAGCCCGCTCGGGGCCGAGGGGAGAAAGTAGGGGACCCGGGGAGGTGGCAGCAGTGGCCGGAAGAAGGGCCGGTCACAGACGGGAGGGGGGATGAGAAAAGGAGGGCTCCGCTGAGGGCGTCGCCGGGGCAGGCGCTGGAGGGGGACTCCGAGGCCCCGCGGTCGGGGTCAGGGACGCTGCCCGCCGCGGACTCGGGCCGAGGCCGCCTGGGCTGTCCCTCCGCCCCGGGCGAGCACGGCGGCCGGATCCCCCGTGTGGAGGCGGCCGGGCTGGGAAGGGGGGTCAGAGGCATGCAGACTCGAGGGGCCCGCCCTGTTTGGGAAGGAAGCGGGTTAAAGACGCTGAGTCAGGGCGGCGTGTGCGGGTTCGGGGACAGAGGGGACCGAGGAGGCGAAGGGCGCCGCGCACAGGAAGCGGGACCGGCACGGCTCCGGGGGCGCAGGGCTGCGGGGGCGCAGGGCGCGCGGGCTCCCGGGCCGGACGTGCGGGATGGGCTGCGCGGGGGCGCCAGGCCAGCCTCCGAGCGGCCCTCTGCCCCCTGCTGTCGCCTCCACCTGCGGGTGGGTCGGAGACCCAAGCCGAGTCAAGGGCCCGAATGACCCCTACGGGGTGAAGCCCAGCTTCCGACCCGCAAGATCCCGCGCAATAAAGATGCGCGGGGGAAGCGTGGGCTCCATTGTTGAGCCCGGTGTCACTTTGGAGGAGCTTTCCCTGTCGGCCCCAAACCTCCAGAAAACTCCACCCAGGGGCTCCCTTCGCTGTTCTCCCCGCCTGGTAGCGCGCCCCCAGGGATGTCGCCTTGAGTTATTAACCGTGCCCTCAAAACGTGACTCCAAGTGTCCCGACAGTCCCCGAGGCTGTAACCAGACCTGTCACCTCGCTCATCCCCTGCGACACGGGGTTGGATATTTCCTCCTTGGGGTCTGCAAGAGCCTGAACTTGGCTGGAACTTTTCAAAACAAGGCTGATCTCTTTCCCTGTCACTATTTGCCAAAAGCTCTTTTGTGTTTGAATTTGAAACTTGTGGAACCAGGTATTCTGTGATTAAAAAAAAACCAAAAAACAAAAACAAAAATATAGCCACTGTCAGACTCTCTGAAAGTAGACAAAGCAACCGGACCCAGAAACAGCGGGAAGCGAGGCCGGCGCTAGGGGTGGGAGCCCGGGCCGCGCCAGAGCCGGCCCTAGCCCTCTTCCTTGGTCCAGGCCTGGGCTCCCTCACTGTATTTTAACCAAAGTCAAACTGGGACCTCTTCCTCCTACCTACGTGCTGAGGCAGAGGGCGATGGGGAGTCTGGCCTAACCTGTCACTAGGGAAAGATCGACCACTCTGAGGAATTAAGACCCGGTGTCCCCAAGTGTCCCAAAGGGCTAGGCACACACCACGCCAGCAGGGGCTTTCCTGTGGAGGATACTGGTGCTTCACGCACCGGCAGCGTTGTTTGTGTGAACACTTTGAGCTCCAAGAAAATGCACTGCAAAGTAATACCATGATTTTTTTAAAAGGTTTGGGTTTTTTGTTTGTTTTTTACTAGAGAAAATTTAAACATACAAAGAGTAGGGAGAATAGTATTCCGCATTTCCATTTGCCTGTTGCCCTGCTTCACCAGTTCTGCACTCTCTGTCCTGGTGTCGCCACAGCTAGTGATCAATTGCAACATATATAACTATTCTGAGCCCTGTAGGCTGGACTCACGGCAGAAAACAGAGCCGTGAAGAAACTGCTGCGTAGGAGAGCAGGGTGGGGCAGGCGCGAACAGCCAGCCCCAGGAGCAAGCAGAGGGCACTGAAAAGCAGACCCGAGGCCCAGGCCGCAGCAAGCCCAGGGCCCAGGCAGGCTGCGGAGGGCGCAGGGCACTGCGGGGCTGCAGAGCCATTCCCCTGGTTTGGCTCCCAGTGGGCGCCACTAGAAGGGAGCTCGGGTTAGTGGTGGCCTCCTGGTGGGTGCTGAGCTAGGATGGGCCGAGGGGGCTGGCAGGGAAGCGCCCCAAGCCGAGGTGGCGGCAAGGCCCCCCGCGGATCAGGAGGCGCCCAGAGAAGGCTCCTGAAACCCAGCACTTTCGGGGCTCAGGCTTCGCTACGCATATGGCATCTGCAAGCGCGCAAGGACACGAAAAGGGCAGCAGCAGCGGGTGGAGTTGGGGGCCTTGTTCTGAGGCAAAGGGATAAGAACCGCGAGAACCTGCCTGTTTTATCACTGAGCACGACCCGAGAGTTTCAGGGGGTAAGAGGCCTAGTGGGGAGTAGACCCTGGAAAGGAAAGGGAAGCTCAGAGCCCACTCAGAGAGAGGAGGACGCTGAGGAAGGATGGTCAACAGTTATAGAAGGAGGTTAGAAGGAGGTCGCAGAATGCAGAGCTAGGTGATGGGGACAAAGTGACGGCCGCCTGCCTCTGGGAAAGTAGCCGAGAAAACACACACACACACACACACACATACACGGCCAGGGGCCTAATCTAACAGATAGTGGTTGCTTTTAGAAATAAGGTTCCCTCGTCCTTCTCCCCACCTCTGTAATGGAGAATAGGAGGGTTCAGTAAGTTGCAGGACAGCAAGTGTCCAGGAAGACTTTTGTCCTTGGTGCTAGTCCTCCAGCAGGCGTTGCCCAGGAAGCTGCGGTGGGCCTCCTATGGGCTGGCGACGCTGAGTTAGAGAAGAGCGGAGCCTCCAGACAGGGGACGCGAGCTTGGGTCTGAGCCGCCAGGGGCAGAGGCCTCCCCGAGGGCCGGGCACGCCCTGCAGCCTGCTGGGCGCCCACTCCCGAGCGGGAAAGGGAGATGGCCTCTTTTGGAGAGATAGGGGAACCTTCGGAGACAACTTTTACTCTCCCAGCTATACAGAAACATGTCCTTCCTAAATTTTATTTTGGGCTGAAATTAGTAAAACAGACTCCATTTACACCTGCAATTTTCAATCATTAATGTTGCAAATTTTCAAATGAAAACCTGGGTCAACCTTGGCAAAGAGGAGCTCCGCATCCTGTCCCGGGTGAGGGCTTCCCGCCGATCTCCCACACCCTCAGCCCCGGAAATTCTGTTTCCACCGTTGGCTGAGATTCACTCCGCTTCTCTGTAGAACGACTTCTTTCCTCTATTACTGATTCTCCCATCCCGCGAGTTTCTCAAACTTCTAGGTTCAAATACCTTAAGAGTTTAAAGAAACGGTTCTGTAACACTGTCAGGAATGCAGTGGCTCGTGGGGGAGTGCGGTGCGCGAAGGGGGGTAGTGGTAGGTGGGGGCAGCCGTCCGGGAGAGGAAAGAGGAACAGGTCATAAACCAGGCAGACCTACTCCTGGGAGGACGGTGCATCCCGCTGTCATTTCTTAATCTGCACTTCTGCAAACTCTTAAAAAAAAAAAAAAGAAAAAGAAAAAAAAAAAAGCCTGCCTTCCACGTTCCCAGCCTCTAAATTAGTGAAACCAGATTGTCCTAATAAGACCTTTTGTTGGAAACACATGTAGTCATAAAAAGGTAGACGGAAAGTCAATTAGACACGCGCGCACACACGCACACACTCACAGGCCGGCGCTAAGTGTGTACGGGGTGCAGCTGGGGCCCGGCAGCGAAGGGTTGCAAATGCGGCGCAGAGGCCCAAGAAATTGGTTTGTCACAAAGGCAGAGGTGTAAACTGGGCGCAAAGGAATCGCTGGCCAGTGCCTCGGCCACACACTCCGGGGCCCACCTCCACTAGCTGCTCCTGGAGAAAGATATGCCCCGGGGGACTGGGAACACTCTCTAGGCGCTCCCCAGTCGGAATTCGCACCAGAATATCAATTTCCCTGGAGGCTCGGCATTTGCAACGCCCATAGCGCCAGAAACTTTCTTATGGGACGCCACCCTGGGACCCTGGAGCCAGTGCCGGCCCTCAGAATTTGGCCTTCAATTATCTAGACTCAAGGGGGAGTCAAAATGTATCGTTCTAAGGGTAGCCTGGGGGAAAGACCACCTTAAGGGAGGCAGTGAAATCCAGGATGAAAGAGGATCACTGAGTCCCCAAAGTCCAAGATCAAGCGCAGACAAGAGGTAGCGAACTCTGTGTATCTTACATGCAGGGGCAAGGGCTGGATGGCCTCGATCTCTTAATCAATTTTGGAGACACTGACAGTCTAGTGTTTCCCACCGCTTTGGAGCCAGAGACCGTTTGGAGCTGGAGTGTCAGGAAGGTGAGCCTCTAAAGCCGGAGGTCCCCAGCTGCCAATACTCTCGGCTCCAGGTCCCCCACATTTAAAAGACAGTCGGCGCCTCCACCTTCGTTTCTCTGCGGAGGCCCCTTCCGAGACTCTGGAGCGCCTCTCGCATAGCTCAGACGTCGCCCGAAGCCACCAGCCTTGTGGTTCCGCGACCTCGTACTTCCCGGCGCGCTCGGGTCAGAGAGGAGCGGCGTCAGACGGGCAGTAGAGGGTCACACGGGTCCTTGCAGTTTCTTCGCCTTCCCAGGGCCTCATTTTAAATTTTACAACCACAGTGAATAAATCATCTCCAAACCAACAAGAGGTCACCCACCCACTCCACCCCTCTCCGCCTAAAACACCCCCCAGCAACTTCAGAACCAAGGGTACCTTCCTGCCCCACTGGCTCCGAACCGAGTTTTGAAAGTCGTTCCCGGCCAGCAGCCACCTCCTTTTTCACATTTAAGTGGCATCAGTAGATTGTCAAACAGGACGATTCCTAGACCAATTTGATTCCCACTTTAAAAGACGTGTTTCTTTGACAATTCCTCCGCTCCTTCAGCGCCCCACCGAGACAGACCCCCAGTCCCGGAGAACCTCCGCCGCAGGGGCGCGCGGGCCGCGGGTATCGCGCCGCCGCAAGTCGGAGCGCGCGCGCCGACCCGCGCCGGCCTCCCGCTCCAGGCCGAACGGTTCGCAAAATGCGTATTTCTTTTCTACCCTGTCGGAGAGATGGAGTCAGCGGAAGACTCGGGAGGTAC